GTCGGTGATCGTTGATGCCCCCCTGCTTGGCCGTGCGGAACTCGGCGGAGAGCAACAGGGCACGCGATTCGCGCTGGCCAAGAAACTCATGCTCGAGGTAGGTCCAGGCGACATGCGCGTTAGGGTTGCGCAGCATCACCAACTACTGGAGGGCGCCATGGATGGTGCCGTAGATCCTGGTGAGGACGGTGCAGTCCATATGCACCCATGCCGAGCGATCGGCATTGACCACGTCGGTGAGAACGTGATCGGTTAGGGCATACTTGCCCAAGACAACAAGGAAGCGGGCGCACCACTGGTTGTAGTTGTTGGCGGCACGATCCAACACCAGGGGCACGAGGACCTTGGTGTTGACAACGGCGATGGCCTGGGCATGGATGGCGGTGTGCTTGGCTTCGTAGGCGTCGAGGGCGACGACGCGATCAGCAGCGGCTTTCTCCACGGCGAGACGGAGACGGGCCTCCTCGGCGGTGTGCTCGCGTTGCTCGCGCTGCTCCCGCACCTGGCGCTCGGCCTCGGTTTCAGCCATGGGAGCAAGATCCTGGCGAGATCACGGCGACGACGGTGCTAGGGGCGATCGGCGTGATCGGCGGCGGCAAGGAGGATCGAGCCGACGAGCGATGGCTCTGCAGTGGCACGTGGGGAGGGGCCGGCAAGGGAGAGCTCTACGGCGGCGTGCTGGTAGGGGCCGACGAGCGGTGGCTCTGCGGTGGCGTGGGAGATCGGCCGGCGTGAGGTGCGGCGGCGGCGCGATCTAGGGTTTGCGGAAGCGGGGAGAGGTCGCAGGAGCAAACCGTCTCGATGATACCATGAAAGCGTATGAATTGGGATATACTCAATGTATTACTCAGGGAAAATCAGTGCGTACATATAGGTAAAGTGGGGAGCCTGGGTCGGCAAGCCCACTGGCCGATTTACACTCTTAACAATTTTAAATTAGGTAAATTCTTCATTCTCAAATCCAACTAGAGAATCTCTATTTTAATGTCAAACCCTCCGATCTAGACTCCATGATAATTAATTCATTAAAACAATTTTTAGAGCTATACAACGAAAAGAACTAAAATAATAAAATCTATTTTTCTCCCACTCCTACCGCAATTATACATGTTATTGTTACGAAGATATAAGAGGCGAGAGCGAACTAAACCATTATTAGTTAGGTTATTTTTTACCACATCCATGTGTTTCATGAATTCTGTTTATAAATTTAAGCATGGATTGAGATATCATCTAAACCTATGCATATTTGTGAGCTAGTTTTGTTATCTATCGGTATTAATCCCGGTGCAGGTGCAGGCGCTATTTTGGTCGAGTAGAGGGTGATGTACATGTTTTGATAGTGGCCCTAGCCCCTAGGCGTGATAATTGACCAGCTCCGCCACTGCATGCAGCACCGGCGAGGTGCTACTTTGTGATCCGTGCTTAGTATTTTGAGTGTGGGACCAATCTTTGGGTCAATAGGACGCTCTTCGGGTTCGCCATGCAGCGCGAGCAATGGCAGGAAATGAGGGTCACCGTGAGCGAGACCCCGTGCATGACGTGCTCGACGAAATGGACCAGCCGGAGCTGCGAGGAGGCGTAGAGCCTAATTAGCAGCTTAGCCCTATTTGGATGTCATAGTATTCAAAAACCATGCTATTAACAAACTGTGGTTTGACTCCATAAACATCTAAAATCATGGTTTAGGGAAAAAGAAGAGTAGATTAGAGTTTTAAAACTCCATAAAGACTACACTTTTAACAATACTATGGTTTTAAAAATTGTATGGTCTGTTCCATCCAAACTCTTCATTACAGTTTAAAAAAGTCTTCTATAAAACTATGGTATTTTGTCTAAAACTACAAAAATACTTTGCGTCCAAATAGAATCATAGCCTAGATCCTTTCAGAGTTGGACTTAGATCAAGTTCAATGGCCGCACATGTATAATTAACCTTGTAAGGTTTTGTTTTCATTATTTAAACCTGTACGTCTGTCAGGTTTGGTTTTTAAAACAGGCTTGCTAGCGCCCGAACATCCGGACACCCACGCATGCAGTCAGTTTTCACGCGCCGTTTTGCGCGCCCACACAGGGCCCACGCCACCCGGAACGTCGCCAGCATCGAGAAAGAGGGGAGGGGCAGCATATGCCCAGCCGGCGCGAGGAGAGAGATGATGCAACACCCGATCTACTTTTGAAACATCCAGATGCAACACTGGCAACATACGTCTGAAGGCAAATGAAACACGTGAAACATCCATCTAAAACACTTGCAAAAACACCTGAAAAACACTTGAAAACCATGTAAAACATACGCAACATCCAGATAAAATGCTTGCAACATATGTGTGAAACATATGCAACATCCAAATAAACACACTTGCAACATACATCTGAAAAAATAGCTAAAACATTGAAAACAAAATGTTGCAACATACGTGTACAACCATTGCAACATAAGCAACATCCCGATCTACTTTTGCAATATCCACATGAAACACTTGCAACATCTAGATGAAACATTTGAAACACTTGAAACATACTCTTGCACATGCGCTTTCAGAGTGCAATGTCACCTTGCTACTTGGATGAATCGCGGAGCTCAATGCCGGCGCAGAGGTCGGCAGCGATGCATGAAGCTCGCCACTGCGCCCCTGGGCGAGGACCTACTCGGTGGCCTGGGTGACCACCTACGTGAGGCGCGCACGCACACCCTAGGTGAGCATCTGCGCGAGCACCCCTAGGCGAGCACTTGCTTGGTGGCTGAGCAGGCAGCAGAGGCGGCCACAGCATGCAAGTGGCACCGTGGAGCGCAGAGTGGGGAAGTGGGCAGCGCGGTGGAATCGGGCACGGAGATCCGATGGAGCGGTGGATAAGGCCAGGACGGTGGAGGTCGACCGCACTAGAGAGAATTTTTTTAAGGGGTGTGGATGGTAGCGAGCGAACGGATAAGGTAGCGAGTGGGGAAGCCGCGTCGGTCTGTCCCCGGATGCCTCACGAGAGCATTACTGTTTTTACAAAGAACATCACTGTTGGAAAGATTTTCTTTCAAATCGACGGAAGGGCTAGCGCCCGAACGTCCGGACGGATGGCGTGTCCGGACGCAACTCCCGAGCCTCCTCCATCACGAGACTGTGGGGAAAACGGCTCACCCACGCATGCACAGCAGAAAAAGGCTTGGGGACCACCGAATCCGCTCCGGAGTTTCACGTGCCTGCATGCACACACAGCAGCAGCGCGGTCACATGCACACAGCACCAACAGGCAACACGGTGACCCACACAGCAGAGCAACAGCATACTTTTGAAACATACAGTGGTGACCCACGCCCACATGCACACACATATCAAGAGCACCAGCAGACAACGTGGTCACGCGCCCGCATGCATGCACGCAACACCAGGCATGCGTGGTGACCCATGATGGCATGGTAACCCATGTCGCAGCATACTTTTGAAAACTACGGTGACCCATGCAGCAGCAGCACCACGCAATTGCAACATATGCTCCCCCGAGATCTACTTTTCAAATATCCAAATGAAACACTTGCAACATACTTCTAAAACAAATGAAACACTTGAAATATGCGCTTGAAACATGTGTGTATAGCCATAGCAACATATGGAACATTCAGATCTACTTTTGCAACATTCAGATGAAACACTTGCAATATAAATCTAAAACATCTGAAACACTCGAAACATATACTTGAAACATATGTGTATAGCCATAGCAATATATGCAACATCCATATAAAACACTTGAAACATATATTTGAAACACCTGAAAACACTTGAAACATAGGCTTGCAACATGCGTATATTGTCATTGCAACATATGCAACATCCTAGATCTACTTTTGCAACATCTGGATGAAACACTTGAAACATGAGTCTGAAACGTCTGAAACACTTGAAACACGGTGTCGCCGATGGCCACAGCCTACTTGGTGAGGAACTACGGTAGCCAGCAAGCTTGGAGGGGGGATTGGGTGTGGCCTCGGTCGGGGCTTGGCAGCCGGTGCACGGCGCGGCGCAAGTGCCCATGCGGACGGGCAGGGCCGACTCAGCTGCCACGACAGTGGCCGAGCGGCCATTGGCGGCAACCGTTTTGCATGCCGCGTGCAGGGGAGGCTCTGGCCGCAGGCCGCGTCCGTGGGGAAGAGGAGCGCGGGGAGGCGATGACGGCCCTAGGAGAGGCGCCGGCCAGCTGCAAGAGCGGGGTGGCCGGCACAGGATGGGGGTGCAGCGCTGCATAGGATGGGACGTGCGGCACAGCACGGAATGAGCTGCTGGTGATGAAGAGGAGACGCAAGCCAGGAGTTCCACAGGACAGGGCGCGACGAATGGATACCACTTCGTGAGGGAAGGTGAGCGATGGGCTGCTTAGTGAGATATGGGCCTCCATCCAATGCATCCGGACGTCACGTAAGTAGCATTACCGTTCAAATCGCATAGTGCAAATAAGCATTCAATCATCCATACACAGTGCTGTATACCAACCCCTATGAACTCACGTATACATACCCTGCTCTGAATTGTTGTGAAGATGGTATACTTAAGAAAATAATGGTCAGAGGTGCAAACGGCTGCTAGCATAGATTGTGATCTCATGCGTTTATGTTTTCATTAATTATCATCAACAAAATCAAAAACAAAAAGGAAAGGACTGTGCAATGTGAATGAGCAGCAGAAGCAACATAAATGAGGAGAGAAATATTACTAAGACATTTATTGTTTCATTAATTTACAAAGAGATAAACAAATATAACCAAAGCATTCGAGCATTTTAGCCAATACTGCTTTACAGAGCTCCTACGCAGTTGCATCCAACAAATGAGATCCACCATCGGATTCAAGTATACAGGCATAATAATATTACAAAAGCCGCCTGAGGCTGAAAGAATAGGATGACTATATTAAAAACAAAAAAGACAAGTCCTTGCACTCTCCTCTTTATTCAAGCAATCAAGCTGCGATTCGGTGAAATGGGTTTTCTTTCTGTGCTGGATAAACAGATCAATGGGTGGCATCCCTGCTGTAGTATTGATCCAAGGTCTTTGCAGGAATACGGTGGAGAAGTTCACGAGGGAATATGCGAAGCAATGTCCATGCCAGGTCAAGTGACTGGAAAATGTTCCGGGTGTCATATGCACCTTGAGTTACAAACTTCCTCTCAAACTTGTCAAGGAATTCTAGATAGAGCTGCGTATAACAATAGAAAGAAAAAGCATAATGAATGAAACTTAAAAACTTAAAAAGAATATTTGAGCAAAGTTAGAAGTCTATTGACAGACCAGATCCTCGGATGAAAGCGCTTCCTCTCCAACAACTGCTTTCATAGCTTGAACATCCTTCCCAATGGCATAGTTGGCATAAAGCTGAACAGCAAGTCATGTTCTAGATCATTTAAAATATCGGAGGCAGAATGAATCCTAATCACTGCACTGAAAGGCTCAAACAAGTACCTGATTAGACACATCTGAATGATCTCGACGTGTCATACCCTCCCCAATAGCACTCTGTAGATGAATAATTCTGGCATTATTACTCACGTAATTCACACTAAGAGAAACAACGGCATAAAAAGATTGCAATGACTGGCACCTTCATCAACCGCGAGAGAGATGGCAGGACATTGATGGGTGGATATATCTAAGAGACAAATAGAAAATCATACATCTCGTTAGTGCCATGAAATGAAAGAAGAGAAGCAGAATACAAGGCTATAAGAGAAGACACAACTACTTCTACAATTAGAGTACAGATGCAAACAAACCTGCCTATTATGGAGCTGTCTATCAATGTATATTTGCCCTTCAGTAATGTATCCAGTAAGATCTGGAGTTGGATGTGTGATATCTGTTGAGAAAACAACCAAGAAACAAAGGATGTCGTATCATAATTTGGAAGTACAGAAAAGTAGTGTTCATGGGAAAAGAAAAGCTACAACCAAATTAGCATTTAAGTAGTCCTCCCGGGAGGAAATATACGACACTGTGGCAGCAGATGGGCCAATCCAAGCAGGAGACACTAGACACTATGCTCATGCTAAACTCTGCAAATTTGTAGTTAGTTTCATGGCTTACCATCATTAGGCATAGTTAGGATGGGAATTTGAGTAATTGAGCCTTTTCTTCCTTCAATACGCCCAGCTCGCTCATATATGGTTGCCAGATCAGTATACATATACCCAGGATAACCACGCCTACCAGGCACCTCTTCTCGTGCTGCTGAGACCTGGATATAAATGGCATTCACTTATAATTATAATTATAATCCCATTGATTTGTATACCAAAAAAATTGCAAGATGAAATTTGCTCCAAGTAACTCTAGAATAAGTTCAAAGAGTAAGTATTAAACGGATAGCCCATATAATATGAGAAAATATGGTAATACACAGCAAATTCAATACCTCACGAAGAGCATCTGCATATGAACTCATGTCTGTAAGAATGACAAGAACATGTTTCCCACATTCGTATGCCAAATATTCTGCAGTTGTCAGAGCAATACGAGGAGTGATGATCCGTTCAATGGTGGGATCATTTGCCTGTAAATCGACAAAGAGAACAGAGAGCAAGACTCAGCTTTTAATACTAACACATCAACTCATCAAAATTTCATTTGTCACAGTGTCATAACAAATGATCGCCATATAACAATAAATTTTGTACCAGATTCAGAAAAAGGGTAACCCGTTCCATTGAGCCATTTTCTTCAAAGTCACGTTTGAAAAATTGGGCAGTTTCCATGTTTACTCCCATAGCAGCAAACACAATGGCAAAGTTGTCCTCAACACCACTCTGAAAGTAAAGTAAACCAGAATTAAAATGAGTGATAGAATCAATAATCTATTTTGGAGAACAAGTAAATAGACAACAGGCTAAACTTCACCAGATCGTGGTTGGTTATTTGGTTGTCACAGTATGTCCAAAATCCAGTGTTGAAAACTCATAAGTGTTGTTCAGTAGTTTTTTTTATCCTAAAATTTCCAGATATCTATTTGATCATCTAGAAACACATAGAAGTTAAATCTTTCACTAACAGAAAATACAGCAATAGCATAACCAAGATAGACAAGTTCAGCTCAAAAGAATGGGATGCTGAAATCAGGAACCTAAGATTGAGGCCAAGCATATCTAAGCGCTAGAGTAAGCACTAACCACATGGAGCTCAATCAATAAATAAAGTAGCAATATCAAACAGTAACTTCCATACTCTTTTGGAAGTGCAAGATCTTCTTTTAAAACATCTTATTAAGTTTATACTCTACCTCCTTGTGCTTGCCAGATTTCTCCAGAGTTTTAACAAGACCAGCCTGACGACATATCTGAGCAGCAATTTCATTGTGAGGAAGACCAGCAGCAGAAAAGAGAGGAATTTTTTGCCCTCGTGCTATTGAGTTCATCACATCAATGGTGGATATTCCTGTTTGAATCATCTCTTCTGGATAGGTTCTCTCACTGGGATTGATAGAACTTCCTGGAACAGTATCAGACATTATAAATCTATCATATGGTAAACAGGAAAGTTTCCAAAAAATGGATGATTCAGCACCTCTCAGATCCTTCTAATGAGTACCAAGTCCACTAGTGACTGTGTCCTTTAAAATATGCGCTACAGAGTTCTCAAAGCAGGTTTACACATAATGCAAAATAGCTCACCAGAAATATCCAAGTAAGCCTCAGGCAATATCGGGGGACCATTATCAATGGGTTTGCCAGAACCATTAAAAATGCGTCCAAGCATATCAAGTGAGACAGGAGTTTTCAAGACCTGTACAATAAAAGGCACGTGTAGTGACGAAAGGTGCATATGGGAAAAAACTATGGATGGTTTTGGATGCCTAACGGTCCCCTTCCATTCAATTTAGAATGTTATGTGACTGCAAATATCATAACACTAACTGAGACAACCCAACAAAGCCTAAGCTCAAAACTAGACTTTTCAGCAAGAATATTGGATGCTTGCATTACCCAAATTCTACAATATCAGGTTCCATATAATTCACATAAAACGAAATGAGGTTCACGTTCCCCAGAAACCAAGATTAAGGTGCATGTAGTGCACTGTCTAGATCAAGAAATTGGGCATTTGACTACATTATCTGAAACTCAAGTAGAAGAAAAAAAAAAAAAAGAACAAGAAATGAAATTAGCAAAAAAATCAAATAAGCTGGAATAAGATGCTACCTCGCCAGTAAACTGCACAGTAGTATACTTGTTGTCTATTCCTGAGGTACCTTCAAAGACCTTTAAGAGACATGTGGTAAAGCAAGATTAACTAGTCATAGTGTGTAAAGCAAAGCGGATTATTAAAAGAAGAGAAAATCTGATCATTATTCTCGCGTCCATAGGAAAGAAGCAACCTGCACAACAGCCTTTTCACCATCGACTTCCAGGACCTGACCACGACGAGTAGTGCCATCTCCCAATCGAATGTTCACAATTTCCTGATACTTAGGGCCCTAATATAGTTTTGAATAGAAAATAGTAATGAGTACATGAGTGTGATCAGGGGTGGTTCTTTCATAATCATTTTGAGTGGGCAATCAGCGATAGCAACTGCAACTGTGAAACTAAAACTAACCATACCTTTACTTTGTCCAAGATAACCAACGGTCCTGCCACACCAGAGACAGTTCTATACTCTGTTTACCAAGAAATTGTTAGTACCATATAGACAAATTTGTCATTGCTTTGTCAATTAAAATGATATTCTTTCATATCCATGATATCACTGCAGAGGTTAACAAGAGACAAAACTAATGATAACAGTGTAAACAGGCTTGATCCCTGACGAAAGAATCATACTACTTGCTGCCTTGCTACTATGTTTTCCAGTAACTATGTTTCAGAGAACATTTGTTTTCTGCATGAGTTGCAACATAGGAACAATAGGATTCAAAAGTTTCTTAGATGGAATAATCACACAGATATGTGATGCATGCAAAAAAAAAAAGTACTATATTCCTCAATATAAGGCACTGCAGATTAAGCATGTGAAACACATCATATGAAATGGTTTGCCACATGACTTTTGATGTATGTGTTTTAATACAATAATAGGGACCTGCATATACCACACAACATCCAAGCTAAACAACTAACTTGCTAGCCTACTGGCAAAGACCTGCAAATTGTAATTGTGAAATATACTGATTGCCTAGTATCTTATGATTATGTGATCATTTAGCACTTTTCAGAAAAAATTCAACTGGAACAAATTTCACAAACCTATCTATTGCCCATTGGATCAGACAAGCAAATACAGTAAGAAATAACAACCTACACTAGATGCATGACCGAAGAAATGATAACAGGCCTGGTGGTGAGTTTCTCAGCGAAGTCTCAAGTCCGCACTTACCCATGCCAATCTCCAAGGATCCTTCCTCCAACTCGGCGCCATCCTTCGCCAGACCCATACTGGCGACCTAGCAAGCAGCAGCAGGCAAAGAGCCAATGGCAGCAGCAGGATCAGCAGCGGACACAGCAAAGGACATGGGTGTACACAACTACATGGATAGTTTTCTCCAAAATAAATCGAAGTTACTACATGTATACAACACTCGTAATTGGATCAGATCCGGACACAAATAGCCTAAGTTAGGCGTACCTTGTGAGTGCTCGTCGCCGGTGAAGGGCCCGAAGAAGACCTGGCTAAGGGCCTGACGACGACCCGGGCACCTGGCGTAGGGCGGTGGTGGCGGTCGCCCAGCCGTCGCGAGAGAGAGAGAGCACGCGGGGGAACGGGAGATCAGACACCTCAAGACGGGAGAACACGATGCACGGACGCAGGCCACAGGACGACAGAAGGCCAGGTGCTTGCCCACAATTATTTTCGCCTCCACAAGACTGCAGTATTGGTTTATTAAATATTTAGATTAATTCCCTCAAAAAAAAATATTTAGATTAATTAACCTATATCAATATCTAATATCTATATTTTATTTTAATTCACGCTCTCAATGTTTCATATATTAACGGAACTTAGTGTCCTTTTCATAAGTTAGAACAATGCACATCTAGCAACAATACATAATAAGATCCCAAGACGCGTCAAGCAATAGTACAAAGTTCGATTTAAAAACGTATTAGAACAGATGATGATTATTGAATAAAACTCTAAAATACAAATTGTTCGGATTACCATATAATAAGATGGATGCTCCGTTCCAATTCAAGGACACATTTGCTAGTCTAACTAACAAACGAATGGATCATGTAAAGTGTTAGCTCGAGTGGTTCCGTCCCGTCGTGAGAAGGCCCCGGTCGGGAGTTCGACTCCCTGCTGCCGCGGGCACAGCTGCGGTAACGCGCAGTTTGTGCAGAAAAAAATCCCTCGCATGTCTCGCGTCCCAAAGCACAGGTAGAAAGGTTTCGGCCCACTCACAGGGTTACAGGCCCCTGTGTGAGGACGGAGCATGGGGTTCGGAGGTTTTCTCGGTCTGCGTGAGAGGTCTTCTTTCTAGCGCAAAAACTGCGGGGCAGTCTGCCCACCACAGGTCGAGTTTTTTTTATGTAAATATACTCCCATATGTGTTTAGCTCCATCTAAAATTTTAGGGTTAATTGGAACCATACCACTACAACTTTCACGGATTGAAAAAAAAACTACTATCATTATTATTCATTATACTGGAGCCAAGGTTTAAGAAAACGCTAGGCGCTAGGCAGGCGCTAAGACACCAATTAGGGCCTAGGACATGTAAACGTAGATTAAACACGATTAAACGTTTACACATCTGCTACGTATTAGGAGATTTAGTAGTATATAAATGTGAAAGAATTATCTGATAGGAGCGGTGCCATTACAATTCTCTGTGCATCTGATATATGCGCAGGCATCTGTATTTTCGTAAGCCCCAAAGTGCCCCTGCTACAGCCTCTCTATATCTCCATCTCAATGACAGGAGGGGACTGGCCATCATCCCCTCCTTCTCCTTTTAATAATCTGTACTCAACAATATAGAATCAAACTCTATATTGTGCCTGGAGTTTGCTATAGTCAACTCATATGAGCATGAAAGGTTTAGAGATTTTATCAATGATTGTATCATGTGTTCCAATTTATTTTATGATCGGACTCCGCCGTGCCTTAACACTTAACTTGTCTGGGCATAAGAGAGAGGCAAATAAACTATGGAAACACTTCGTATTCCAATTCATTTTGAAATCAGACTATGCACCGTGTCCAAACACACTACTCTAACTTATACTACAACTATGGAAGAGATGAGTTTGTCAAATCTTTATCGGACAATTGTGAGTGATGAACAAGAAAATCTTTCGCTCTTTGATATTAGATATAGATCTTCTGGATACAAATTATGATAGCATTGAGTTTGATAATCCCTTATTTCAAAATTTCGTGTTAGTATAATTGTTTGACCAAGATGGAGAGAGAGAGAGAGAAACATTGATTGATTCTTTGTTAGTTGAAGCCTCTAGATACTTTCTCCGTTTCTAATTATAAAGTTGTTTTTTTTATATTTTTAGGTATTTTACTATACATCTAGCAAAAAAACGATATACCTAAAAAAATAATTTATAATTTAAAATGGAGAGAATAGTAAAAAAATACTAATCCAAGAAATGAGCAAACCATTTTTTTGCGACGAAAGAAGAATTATATTAGATAATAGCTGGGTACATCAACACATTACAAGCACTCTAAATTACACAAATATCCAGAAACTGATTTTTATCTAAATTATACCCACACTATGAATAGCTCCAGATCTCAAAACCAAACATGTACGACGCTTTGCAGTATGGAAGACTGCACAGGCAAACACTTGGCAAAAAGGCCTAAGAACAAGTGCCCAACAAACGACGGCCAATATTCATGTATGCGAAGTTGAGAAACTTCTTCTTCCTGGTGTCTTCTTTCTTCTTTCTACCACCGAAGAATGAGAAGACTGATCTGAAACTTATTCTCCCTAGTCCTTCATCGTGGCTAGATCTAACCACAATAAAACGAAGAAGAGACCGAAGAAAATTATTCCATGGCGGCGACACCATCTCCACCTTGATGTCGCCGTTTGGAAATAAAAGTATCCATGTCGTCATATCGCTGAGGATGTTGACGTCGTAGTTGTCGCCCTCATCTTCAACAGAGCCGACATGAAAAAAACGACTCCCCCTGCTCTCTCGTCGTCGCTAGAGAGGAGGGGGAGGAGATAAATCTCCAAAACCAAAAACTTGGCATGGAGAGACCCTAATCCTAAGAACTCGATCTACTGAAAAAAACTTATTAAAAACGATGGATCCCCACTCCCTCCGGCCTCCGGCGATATGCCAGAGGGGGGAGGGAGGGGGACCAGCGGTGGAGGAGGCGAGGGGCGACGGCGGCGGCGCTCGAACCAAAAGTAGGATGCATGAGGCGTCCAGGGTGCAATCCTAATTACTCATGAAGGAGTGGGTTTTAGGGTTTGTTTGTTTGAGCTATGGTTTTTAGCCTTTTGGCTTAAAGATGACTTTATAGTTTTTGGCTTCTGGCTCATGACTTTTTGTTAGACCAGTCTCAATAGGGTTCATCAGAGTTTCATGGGCATTAAATATGATGATGTGGCACTATATTGATGAAGAGAGAGATGATGAAAGTTTTATGGGAATAGAGAGAGTTTAATGGGAATGAAACTCTTCTGCACTGTTTCCAAAATATAGATGTGTTGGAAACTGAGCTATAAAACCTCCACTGAGACTGGCCTTATTGGCTTTAAATTTTTAGCTTCTCAACACATTCAAAGCTAGAAAAAGCTCATGAGAACATGTTTCATTTTAGCTTTTCAAAAGCTAGACTATTTGTTTGAACTTCTGAGTTTTGCATGGTAGAAATCAGTAAATAAAAAGCTAAAACAAACATAGCTTTGGGACATAGGAACCATACCAAGGATGCTCTTGTTTTGATCACTAATTAGCAGTGGAATAATTCAGGTGCAATGGTGCGTGGAGGGAGTATCATCATGAACCAGGCACCACACCGACCATAACCAAAGACTACGATCTTGGACGCCACCGTAGGAAATGACAAACGGCTAATCAAGCGAACCACATGTGTTCGGACGCCCGCTCAAAGTGCTTAACCACCCGCATCCGCTTTCACCCCCCGCCCCCACGCGTACGCCCCTAGCCCAGTCCGCATACCCCAGCTAGCTCCGTAGCCCGCCGCGTCTGCCCACGTTGTAAGTGCATCTAGCCCTTTAGTGGGTTTTGGTGAATTGAATGACAATACCACTAAAGGTCTAACAAGTTTACTAAGTGTTGAACAGGAAATTGAGTTTATTGTATACACTTATGGATTGTGGAATGAGAAGTATATATAGGTTTGTCGGATACCATAAAAAGGGGTACCCCTTTGCAAGAACCGGAAAAATTGCTTAGACCTTGTAAATATCGAATCCAAGAGACAACCACGAGGCCTCGGCCGATTCTTCGATTCGCCCGAGGCCCACGCCGCAAGGCCTCGGATGAGGTACCAACTCTCCACCTCGCCCGAGGCCCCGCCCGGTAAGGCCTCGGACGAGGTACCAACTCTGCGCCTCGCCCGAGGCCCCGCCCGAAAGGCCTCGAACGAGGTACCGATTCTCCGCCTCGCTTTGAGGCTGGCTCGGCAGCTACCCCGTCACCGCCGCCTCGACCGGGACGTCACGTCCAACTAACGCAACCAACCACTCCCGCGACGTCAGCTGAACGATGGCTCGACACAGCGGAGTGACCGATGAGATGGGAGTCGCATCAACGCCATGCCGTCCGGGACAGGACGAGGGGCGGGGTTACCGGCCACGTTTTGGCTCTGTGCCACGATCGACACCCATGCGGCATCAGGCTTTGCTTAACCCCACCTCGCCCGAGGACAAAGGCAGCGTGGAGAGTCATGTCCAGTCCCTCATAGCCTCGTAACCAAAGATAAAAGACCAACTGCTCCCTTCGAGACTCGCGCCTACCGAGCCCCCCACAATGGTTCAGCCCCTGTCCTCCCCTTCAACTATAAAAGGGGGTGACTGGGGCCATTTCTAGGCACGCACTCATGGAGACATCGCTCAGATAGACACACACGCGCAAGCAACGAGCAACATTCTATAATACGCACGCTCCCTCACTGCAAGAGATCAACATCTCAAGCAACCCACACCGCTCCACGCAGAGACCTGGGACTAACTCCCTCTCTCGCCTTGCTTGTAAACCCCTACTACAAGCACCTTGGTGCAAGGAATACAAGATCGCTCTCTCATACTAGACGTAGGGCACCTATTGTCTGAACCAGTATAAACCTTATGTCTCTTTGCATCACCATTCCAGATTAGGGGCACGCAGTACACTTTCACTAGTTGGTTGAGGATCCACCGGTCTAAAACATCGACAAGGTTCAACAAGAAGGCAAACTTGATGATATTCCACATAATGTTCAAATAAAGGCCAAA